CTCAGCCTCAAACTCCCCAAATGGGAGAGCAAGGAATGTCATTACAGGCTGGTGAGAGAGAGGGAGCACATTTCAGAGTGGACTTTTATTGGGGGGACTCTAGATTCTTTAGAAATTTCCATCCAATGAAGGTCAAGGGGGACAGGGTTACAAGGACAGGCGAGGTAACTCCATCCCTGGGGATATAGGAAGGCACGCCCATGCATGAGGACACATTTGGCTGCATTTTTACTACTCTCAAGATGGGGGCTACCGTCTACAGCCACTTGAAAGTGGCCAGATGATTGGGAATGACCAACAGTGCCTGAAGCCAATCAGGAGATGAAAACACTGATCACATGACATGGCAGCCTCCCACACATTTCCTTCATCACTTATGAGTCCAAGCATTTTTTCATGGCCATTTATGTATCTTCTCTGGAGAAATATCTATTCAGATACTTTGCCTATTTCTAATTGTGTTACTTATAATAGTATTGAGTTATAAAAGTCCCTTAGATGTTCTAAAAATCAATATTTTTTAAATTTTATTTGTTCTTTATAGATATATATGACAGTAGAATATACTTTGACATATTTATACAAACACAGAGTACATCTTATTCTAATTAGGGTCCAAGTCTTGTGGTTGTACTTGATGTGGGGATTCACCGTGTGTATTCATATATGTACATAGGAAAGTTGTGTCAGATTCAACCCACTGTCTTTCCTATTCCTGTCACCCTTCCTTCCCTTCACTCCCTTTGTCTAATCCACTGAACTTCTATTCTTCACCTACTTTGTCCAATCTCTTACTACATACACACAATTTGTGAATATTTCCCCCCACTCAGTAGGTTGTCTTCTCCCTTGCCTGATGGTGTCTTTTGAAGTTCACAAGTTTTTTATTTTGTAGACATCCAATTTTTTTATTTTATTTTTGTTACTCTTGCTTTTAATATCGTATCTAAGGATGCTTTGCCAAATCTGGGCTCTTGAAGATTAACTCCTGCTTTCTTCTAAGAGTTTCTTAGCTTTACATCTTTAAAAAGTTCTTTAATTTTGAGATTTTTAAAAAAAATTTTATACCAGAGATTGAACCCAGAAGCACTTAACCACTGAGCCACATACCCAGCCCATATATATATTCTAATTAGGGTCTAATATATATATTAGAGAGAAGGTGTCACTGAGTTGCTGAGGCTGGCTTTGAACTCATGATCCTCCTGCCTCAGCATCCCAAGCTGCTGGGTTAGTTAAATTGTGTACTTAGCATGAGGAAGGAGTCCAGCTTCACTCTTTTATCTGTGGACATCCATCTGTCTCACCAGTGGTGTTATCCCCATTGAAAAGTCTTGACACCCTTATTGAACATTGTTGACTATCGATATAGTGGGTTATTAATGGACGCTCAATTCTGCTTCATTGATTATCTGTCTACACCACACTGTCTTGATTATCATTGTTGTGTAGTAAGTTTTGAAATCGGGAAGTGTGAGTTCTACTTTGTTGTTCTTTCAGGATTGCTTTGGCTATTCTGGGTCCTTCAAAAGTCCACATAAATTTTTAAATCAGCTTGTCAAATCTACAAAGAAGCCAGCTGAATTTCTGATGGGATAGCATTAAATGTGTAGGTCAGTTTGGGATGTATTAACACCCTGATAACCCATGGATATAGCATGTTTTCCCATGTATTTAGGTTTAATTTCTAAGTTTAATTTCTATCAAGAATGTTCTGTTGGACCATTTCTCATTCTCACTGCAGCCATGACATGTAACGCTCTGGATTTGAACTCATATCTACCTTGCCCCAAAGCCAACCAATGTTTGTCCCTCGTAGTTGCTGTCTTGAAAAACAACACTACATCTGAAAACTTCTTGCACAAAAGAAAAGTTTTCCTAGAGATCTAAAGTATGGAAGATTGGGAAAGATTCTGGCATGGGGCTCAGGCAATTCAAGATTTGGCAAGCTGAGCTTTGGGAGCAGGAGAGATGGCCAAATGTAGCATTATATAGTAAAAAAAAGAAATCCAAGTTCATAGTGCAGCATTGCTAAGGGACCGGTGAAAGATTTGAAAATCCAGAGAATTCCAGTGCAGGGAAGGGTTAATATGAATCACTGTGGCTCCTGATTTATATTTTTATTTATCTATTTATTCATTTACTCAGTGTGTGTGTGTGTGTGTGTGTGAGAGAGAGAGAGAGAGAGAGAGAGAGAGAGAGAGAGAATGGTCCTGGGGATTGAACCTAGGGGCACTCTGCCACTGAACTACATCTACAGCCCTTTTTATATTTCATGTTGAGACAGCGTCTCATAAGTTGCTGAAGCTGACCTCAAACTTACGATTCTCCTGCCTCAGCCTCCCAAGTCATGGGGATTACAGGTATGCACCACCACACCCGGCAACATAGCCCACTATGGAGGAGAGCCCTTATTTCAAGGAATTAACAAGATTTTTCTTTAGTGTTTCAGCTAATACATGTCATATGAACATTCTGATAGGACCACAGAGGATGGGGAGATGGCCAAATGTAACATTATATAGTAAAAAAAAAAAAGACACTAATAATATGGGATGTTTTAGAATAAATATCATCCTCTCTGAACTACTTTAGAGTGGAGGTGACTCACAGAAGCTTTCACATCTTTCAAGATGCCACAGCAGCAGCTTTCCTGCTCTCCCCGAGCATTCTGCTCTGTCCTTTTGGCTTACATCTCTGTGGGCAGGCCTTTGCTTTCACAGTACCTAGATGAAAGAGGACTGAGCACTTTGTTCAGAAAAGTGGTACCAGCTCCAAGCCACTGTTCTTAGACCTCTTTGGATGGGCAAAAGCCAGGTGAAGATAATTTGTGTCCCATGTGAAGGCTCACCAAAGGTTGACCTCAGCAGAGGAAGAGTTTAATAACCAAGTGGATAGGGTGACCCATTTTGTGAGTAACAGTCAGCCTCCTCTCTTTCTATCCTCCTCTGTCACTGTGCAGTGGCTTGTGAACACAGTGGCAGTAGTGGCAGGGATAGAGATTATGCATGGTCTCAGTGACATAGACTTCCACTCACTAAGACCGACCTGGCTGTGGCCACTGCTGAGTGCCCAATCTGCCATCAGTAGAAACCAAGGCTGAGCTCCTGCTGTGGCATCATTCCCCAAGGGGATCAGCCACCTATCTAGTGGCAGGTTGATTACAGTGGGCATCCTCGATTATGGAAGCACCAGCATTTTGTCATGACTAGAATAAATACTTATTTTGAATATGAGTTTGCACTCCCCTGCACATGCTTCTACAAAATTTATCATTTGTGGACTTACAGAGAGGGTCCTATCTACCAATATGCTATTCCACATGGCATTGCTTTTGATCAAAGAACTCACTTCACAGCAAATGAAGTGCAGCAGTGGGTCCATGCTTGTAGAACTCACTGGTCTTCCCAGGTTCTCCATCATCCTGAAGCAGGTGTCTTGGTGGAATGGTGGGATGGCCTTTTGAAGTCACAGTGACAGCCCCAGCTAGGGGGCAATACCTTGCAGGGCTTGGCAAGGTTCTCCAGGAGGCTGTGTATGTTCTGAACCTGTGTCCATGAGTGATGTTGTTTCCCCCATTGATTCCACAAATCAAGGGGTGGAAATGAGAGTTGCACCACCCACTTTTACTCCTACTAACCCAATAGCATAAAATTTGCTTTCTCTTCCCACAATTTTATGCTCTTCTGGCCTACAGGTCTTGATTCTGTCAGAAGACACAACTGTGATTCACTGAACTGAAAATTAAGACTGCCACTGGCCACTTTGAGGTCCTCATGTCTGAGTCAAAAGGCAAAGAAGGTAGCCACAGTGATGGCTGGGATGACTGATCCTGATGACCAGGGGAAGTGCACTACAGTGGCCGTAAGGATGAGCATATCTGGAACACGGGCAATCCTTCAAGAAGTCTCTTAGCATTATCATTCCTTGTGGTTAAGATCAATAGGAAACTACAACTGCTAATCCATGCAGAGCTATGATGCCCCAGACCCTTCAGGAAGGCAGAGTAGGACCTCCCACCAGGCAGGACCCAGGACCCACTGAAGTGTTTGCTCAAGGCAGAAGGATCAAAGAATAGGTAGTAGAAGGTGAGGGAGGAGAACACTGAGTGAGCAAAACTAAAGTGTTTCCTTCTTGAAGATGGAAGAAACCCTGAGCCTATTTTTAAGTTGAAGGGAAGGAGAGTAGGCAAAGAGCCCTGGGGAAGAAGGGGGCTGTCTGAGAGGTAGGAGGGGACAGCCATCCTGGTGTATACAGAGGACGCCTGACTATGCTGTGAAGTAGGAGGCCAGGGGTATAGGGCAGACAGAAAACACCATCTACAGCAGAAACATAAACCCTATGAGGCAGGTAAGGGTAAAAGAGGAAGGGATTTCAGAAACAAAGATGACAACATATTTCAATTAATGGCCACAGAGATAAAAATATTTTCATGCAGAATATTTATTCCAAATGTTCTGCTGTGTATTTAACAATGTATCCAATGCACATTTTTTACATGGAGCAACATCACCACATCTAGCTTTGATTACATACTCAACATTTTAACTTTTCAACTTTCCATGAAAATTTACATCAGACATGGATCCGCGGGATGTGCCAAGTAAATCATTCTTAAATACAGGTTTACTGTCCTTTAAACCACTTGGAAGACCACTGCCTCCTATTTGCTTCTGCATCTTCTAGATAGTAGCCCTCTATGCTCTTTATAAACAGAAGCATGAGCTTTTGAAGAACTGAAATATAGTATTTACACATAAGGTGATGAGAAGTGTTTCATGATATACAAATTAATATAGCACAAGATACTGTGTAGAAAAAAATAAACTTACAGTGAATAAATATAAACCAGTTTTATATATCAAGGAATATGTGGAGTATAAAAAGTAGTCCTTAAATATATACATATACACATACATAAAAATGTGTGTATGTCCTAGAGTATAAATATGCTATATACTTAAATACTTCATGTGAAAGAAAATATGCAGCATCTATTTTTAGTTTTTCACATTAAAATACTGGTGGCAGTTGGGGTCCCCTCTGATCTCCAGAGATCCCAGGATCCTCCTCCCACTCCAAGGGTAGACACACCAGCACAGTCCTGCCTCTCCATCCAGCGATGTCTCACACTGCAAAGACAAGTCCAAGGTCAAGAGCAGCAGACAAGGAGCGGACAGGGAAGGTGTGGCTCTGGCTGGCCCCCTCCCTGAGCGAAGCCAGAGCATTGCAGAGCCACCCACCAGCCAAGAGGGCAAATCCAACACTCTCCTCATTCTCAACACATATGGAGATAATGGCTGAGTAGCATATGTGATAAGAACTTAGTAAATGTGTGAAAGACAGTACTGTGACATATGTCTGCTTCATGGCCCCAATGCCAGAGGAGCCCAGTCCCAAGGCAACATATCCCATGTTGGAACCACTGTTCCCTGTGTGTTATGAGGCAGTGCCTAGACCTCAAGTTTCTCCCACCCCCCATTAAAAAAACTTCCAGAATGTGTGCTTCTCTGAGCCCTGAAGGCTTCCTCAAAATTAAGTCTGGGTTTGTTTGGTCACATTTATTATTTACAAGTCACAAATATGTTATTGTGCTTTATTTTACAGGTTGTTTCCCCTTGTGGGGGAGAAAAAGTAACAGATGTCCAAAGAGACTTTCTCTTCCAAACTGAGTTGTTTTGTTTCTCTAGCATTATAGGCCAGGAACTGATATCACAAGTGTTAGGAAACCTGTGAAGCCCTCTGTCTCTTTTGCTTGCTGAGTGATTGAGCAAGGGTCAGCTCCAGACTGCTGGCCCAGCATAGGGTTTCCTCCACTGGCTTTGGAATATTGAGAAGCTCATGAAACTACCTTGGAACTAGATTTTCCTGATACCCACAGGAAACCAGCTTAATAAAACCAGCTATGGTATACATGTAGGATTAACCATTCTTTACCATCGATGTGGGGTAACGGTGGCTATCCCTATGACAACACCTAGTAGTAAGGCCACCTACCTGTTTGCTCTGATAAAATCCATTCTTATTGCAGTTTGGCAGATAAAATTTGTAAATTTCTTCTCCTGCTTTCTGTTGTGCCTTAGCTAATCTCTCCAGCACTTTGTAGAGTTCTCGTCGGCAGGGCTGCTAAAAGAAAATTTTGATTAGGATGAATATCAGAAAATTATCATCTTAAATGATAATCAATTGGGGTTTTATATGGGCCAGAGCAGCCCCAACATTTAGCCATGAGGTCCCAGGACCTGGTTCCAAATTACCAGCAGTCTCTAGGACTTCTTTTCCCACATGTGTGCAAGGGGTCTGGTCTCTGACTTGAGCTTTTAGGATAAAGGATGGGAACATCACTCCCTCCCTCACTGAATGCTTTCTAAACACCTATACAGAGACATCCCCTGGCAAAAGTCTAGCCAATACCATAAAACCTTTCTGTACTCCTCCTGCCACTTGTTGGCACCCACCATTTGGTAGAAACGAGAGTGAGAAAACAGAGAATTTAGCAGCAGAGACTTTCAGATTTTGAAAAACTTTGCAATCTACAAAGTTATTTCACATAATCCAAATCAAGTGAGGAACAAGGCATCCTGAGATAAGAATTAACTTTCCTCCATTTGTCATCATTTCCAGATGAAATTCTGAAGCATCCAAAAAATAATTCAGTATTTCACTCTTCTGGGCATGCATGTCTGTCGTAGTGATTTTCTTTCTTTTATGCCTCGCCCAACTCCGGAATGAAATTAAGTCACTCCAACTTTGGTTCTCTGTCGCCCTCGAGTGGTAGAATTAAAATGTGATGGGAAGTTATTTTTTAATGGGTTTCGAGTTTCAGTTTGGGAGATGGATGGTGATGATGGTTGCCATATGTACTTAATGAGACAGAAGCTTGTATTTACAATGGCTAGAATGATAAATTTTATGTATATTTTACCATAATTTTTAAAGGGGACAAAGATATGACGGGAGGCAGGATAGTTAGGCTCTTGTGCTTAGCTTCAGCAAAGTATAACCCAATGTTCTTTAGTGATTTTCTACTCTTGACCCCTTGTTTAGGGATGAGCTCAGAGACATGAAGTAACCTGCCTAAAGGTACTTAGCTGCAAATGCATCTAACCATATGGCCTCACCTTCCATTTTTTTATGTCGGCCATCTCACGGGCCCTCATGCTTTTGTAGGTACTGATGGCATTCCAAAGAATGGGCTGATCCTCCCTGGAGGAGGCCATTAGGTGGAAATTCTCTAATAGCTGCTCTTCAGTCATCTCCACACTCTCAGGAGGCACTCTCTCGGGGACCATGGAGGCCTTAGCTTCTGAAAAAGAAATGCAGCAAACTCATGAGCCCTCTGAAAACACCTGCCCTTGACTCCCCAGAGTCAATTCCTTCCCTCAAAACCACCAGGCCAGGATGCAACTATGGTCAGGTTAACCCAGATTTTTGGAGATAGTTTCTGGGAAGAGATCATCGATGACCCAACAGCAATCCCAGTTCAATTCTAGAAGAAACTAGTTCTGGAGGGTGTTAAGGGTGCCCCATGATTTTAGTTCTAAAGTGGCTGGGAAGGAGCAACATGTAGGTTTGCTGAGGCCAGGAACACCTGGAAAAAGCCAAGGATTAGGGCTCAATTCCTGACCCCATTAGTGAGGAGTCTTAGAACTTCAGATTTCCATCCATAAAATGTGATATCCCATAAACAGGTGGTAGAGTTCAGTGAGAGGTAGGGTCTAGAATGCAGCTCCCCTAACCCAAACCAGTAAGTAGTCTCTTGTCTTCCACGGGGCCCTGCCCTATTCACTAAGTGAATACTAAGTGACTTCTCTGTAACCAACATCTTCTCTGCCCCCATCCAAAGAAAGGGAAGTCACTAGACACCTTGGAGATAGAGTCCAAGGATACATGGAAAGAATCTGAGAGAATTAATTCAAAGGACCTCACCCCTAGCCCAAGGGAAATCCATTTCCTTTGAGGAATGTTGAGACAGCTCCATTTCTTTTACTCTCAAGGACAGGAAAAACTGTGTTCCCTACTCAGAATAGTCTGGTGCTCCCATACAGATTCCTATTAAGTTATGGAACCTGGAGACTACTCCAAGACCTACACAGGAAGTGCAACCAGCCCAGATGGGGAGATATGGGGCTGGAGTAGAGGAAGAGGCATTTCCTAAGCTTCCTACTACAAACAAATCACTGCTTAAATTCAGGAAGCAACTTGATTGTCAAGTTCTTAGGGGCAACATACACATCAAACACTGTTTGTCTATGGCAATGAATGGAAATGAAGTTTTTAGCTTAAATTTTCACATTATGTTCTGTAAACATCTGGGAAGCACATACTGTATCCACAGGACATATATTACAAAGGACATTCCAACCACCTCCTGGAGGGGCCAGCTGGAGGGAGTCCCATCCTAAACTTTTCCAAATGAATGCACCAGCCCCTGGGGCTGTCATAGGAGGTCTAAGTCCCCCCGCAGTCTCATGGCCTCCACTGTCTTGATCTCAAGAGCTCAACGGGCCAGGGTGCCTCCTGTGGGTTCTCTTCCTTATGCTCCACTAAGCTGTGTGCCCTTGGGCCTCTCCCTTTTTCTCCAGGGGCACTTCCCCCAGGACCCAACAATATTGGGCCTCCACTAGGTGACTGAAGCTCTTTTCCCCACTACAGACTCCAGCTTCAAGCACTCCACCTGGGCCATTTGTGTCCCACTCGCTGTGGGCTTTGGACAAGTCCCTGTCGGGCTTCAGGCCTCTAAAATATCCCAGGACAGGGGCTATAGTACCTTCACCTTTTTCTTCAATGCTGGAGAGTCCACTCGCGGTGGGGGTGGCAGGCTCAGGCACGCAGGCGCCCTGACCCCGAGTAAGAGCGTGCAGGGGCCGAGGTTCTCCCGGCAGCGCACGGCAGCTGAGTCCCCTGGCACAGCGTGCAGTGGCCACGCCGCAGGCAGCGCCTAAAGGCAGGGCACACATAGGGCAGCAGCCACAGCCAGCAGGCCGGGAGAGTTCCGGGCACGAGGAGGGCACTGGTGGGCAGAGCGCGAGCCTCTCTGCGGAGCAGGGCGCACAGTGCCAGGGTTGGGTCGAGCTGGCAACCGCGCTGACCTGGACAGCCAGCAGGAGCAGGAACGGCCAGAGGCCGGCAGCTGGGACCTCAGGCATAGCAAAGTGAGGGTAGCAGGCAGTGAACGATGCTCTCTGGGCAGGTGGCAGTGGCACGGTGGTCAATGCTCTCTGGGCAGCTGGCAGTGGCTTGATAGGTGTCCGATTCTGGATCGCAGTGGGCAGTGCACGATGCTTGCTGGGTGCAGCCCACGCCTTATAAAGGGCGCGGTTCACTCCACTTGGACTAGAAAGTTAATGATTGCCAGCGCGGCGTGCTAGGAGCCCAGTGTTCAAAATAAGTTTGTTTTGCTCCTGCTTTCTGCGCAAACCGTGGGTGGAAGAAGGGTAAACGGTTCTGGTTTCAGACAGTGTTTGTCCTGTTGTTATGGGGGTTAAGGCCTGGAGCTAAAGTCCATATCTAACAACAAGCATGCAATCAGATGGGGGATGGCACTTGTTTTTGTTGAAAGACATAGTCATCTTGGTTGGCCAATGCTCTCCTACTGGACTCAGGGAAAACCTGAGCATTCATATGGGGAAACCAAGGCCTGGGGTTGGAAGGTAGGACAAACGAAGTCCAGGTCTCTGTAAGCTTCAAGGAACATGAGTAGGGAGTGGATTCTCTATGGCTAAGCCCAGAAGTGCCCCCCCCCCCGCCTTGTTCTGCAGGAAGACTCCTCCTAGCAGTCAGGGAAACCCACAGTTTACAGGGAGGTTTCTACCAAACCCATCAAATCTCACTTCGGCCCCAAGAGAAGGACCTTGTTAACTTTACCTCCAAAGAGACATGCTCAAAACCTTAAGGAACAGTCTAGGTGCTGGCAATGGAGCCAGGACCTCAAAACTCCTTCTGACATTATGGCTTAAGCCAAATATTTATTAATATCAAATATGAAATCTTTTCTTAGGTAAAATTTCTATTTCTTGGTTATTCTCTTAGATCACAAGGAAGGAAAAGAAGTCAGATGTCTTTAAAGAAAATCAGAAGTGAACTCAGCTCCAGGAGCTGCAGGCTCTCTCTGGCACCCACCCGGTCCATGGCTTCTCAGGGAAAAAACTATGATCAGGAAAGTGTGGAACCCTGCCTCTGGGACTCCACGAGCAGCATTTCCTCCAACCCCACATTTCCTCACCTGCCTGTCCCCATCTTTGCTGATCTAGTCACAGGCCCAGAGCAGCCCCCAGCCCTGGCCCTGACCCCTATTTGCCCTTCCCTTCAGGTTCTTTAGGAGTGGTATTTCAGGCCTGGGGAGTCTCTGGAGGGTGGTTGGAGTGGCAAGCATCTGTCCAGTCCCTTGCTTTACATTAATGGACTCTGAGGCCAGAGGATGAAGAACATTGCAGGTCAAAGTCACAAGGGCTGTTATGGCACACCTTGCACTACTGGTACACTGTGGTGCACTCCTGTTCATGTTATCTGAGTCTTAAGAAAATGCCTTTCTCTGTAACTTGGCTAAATAAGGAACTGATATTCTTCCATTCAAGGAAACCAGCACTGATGCTTTCTCCAGAGCAAGTGTATGGGGTGACTAATGTACTTCTGGAATTTGAGGTTCATTGAAAACCCTAAAAGATAAGGAATACAATACCAAGGACCAGGGAGATGGGTCAGGGGGGCATTATGATAGCTCACAGTAGAACACCTGCCTGCCAAGAAGTCTCCTGAGTTGGGAGTTGAGGAATAAGGAGGCTTTAGAAGGTGTGGGGCTGAGGGAAGATATCCAAGGTGGGTGTGGAGGAGTTAGTAGCAGAAGAACATGGCCCCATCACACAGAAGCTTGCAAAGTGTTCAGGAAGAAACCAAGATGGTCCCTGTATCCAACCCCAAGGAAAGGTCCTCCTTTGATTCACCAGAGAAGGTTAGAGGGAGTTGCCTCTGCCCCTACTTCCTGGTGCTGCAGAGATGGACACAACCCAAGGCCACCAATGAGGGGAGCCATATGGGAAAGAGAAAAGGATACTCAAAGGACAAGTCTTGCTGGCCCTGGGCTATATAGCCCACAGAATTGGAGATAGGTATGAGATTATGTTGTGCTCCAATGTAAAGATGCACCAGCCAATCAGTCTCTACTCTGAAGCCATCCTGCTCACAACCTAAATGTCTATTGCCAGGGTCTGGATAACTAAATCTTTGGGGGCATCTTTTCACTGGGAAATATGCAGTTATTAATGAGGAAAAAAAGCAGCTCTATATTATATTATAGAGAAAAAAATCTTCAAGATGAGTACTTTTTCAAATTAAATAAAATCGCCAAGCTCAGAATGAGAAGGTACAGAATATGCCATTGTTGATTGTATAATAAAAGTAACTGTGACTCTAAATTTATGGGTCTTCTTGAGAAGACTACATGAAAACAGATATAATGCCCACTTGGCAGTAGGGTAGTGTGTGAATTTAAGTGGCTAAGGGACAGTCTGGACTTTTCTGTATCCTTTCTGGATTTGTATTATATACTTAGTTTCTCTGTTACTTTATCTACCTAAGAATAATCAAATTGAAATTAACTTATTACCTCCTATTCTAGTCACTTCCCTGGTTCCCTGGACCTAAGAAAGTGCCTCAGTTTTGCCATGTTCATTTTTGTTCTACCTGGAAAGTCTCAAAGAGCAAGAGCTCCAGCATCTCTTCAGCAACAATCAAAATAAAATCCATCAAAGTAATTGTACTTGGAAGTTCATGATCATGTTTGTCATTTTTTATTGAGATTTCAAATTTACTTTTAACATTTTTTCTTTAAAATTAATATTTTAAATTTAAATTCTAATTGTTTTAAATTAACACGTTTGATGTAGGTCCCTATAAAATAATTTCATTTGTAGAAGAATTTGTGCTCTGGATTTTCTGTTCTCTTTGACTTCCTCAATTTGTGATCACTGTCCACAATTTGAACAATTTCTTAATGAAATACATGAATGAGAAAATTTTTTGGCAAATCCTTGGGGCCCACCTACTGTGTGCCAGTTAGTTTGCCTGGGCCTGGACAGTTCACCCCATCATGCACTTACCCTCCTGCCCTCCCTCCCTCCCTGAGGTCACCCTCATTTTGCACGTAGTGGATCTTCCCTGAAGATCGATTTCCCAAATGTTTCCATTGCTTGCCTCATAGCATCAAACAAACCAAACAGCCACTAAACCTAAGAGTTCCGCTTTTCCTCCCAACTCTCTGTCAACACAAATGAACTCAGGCTCCTTCCTCCAGGCCCATTTGGACTCTCTGTTCATGTGTCAGTCCTCTGTGGGGTGAGCACAATAGTGACTCAGCCACCTGTGACTTGCTCCTCTAATCCTAATCTAGGCCAGAGACTCCAAAACTCTGGCTCATTTTCCAACTTTAATGAACCTACTCCCCTGTTCAAAAAAACAACACAATTTTCCTTCCACACCTCAAGACTCTGGTCTTGCTGTCCTCATGCCTGAATTTCCATTGTCCCACTGTCCTCATCTCCAGAGCCCATGATCTCTTATATCCATCCCAGAAGTTTTCTTCCAAGACTCTGTCCTGATAACCCCCACCCTCCCATGACCAAAGACAGCAGAAGGTATCTTTCTTCCTTCCATTTTCTCCATCATGCATTTTCTGAGCTCCTGTCTGCTTTCTTGGTCCCAAATAATAGTAGCCAAATGGCATGGAGGGGAGCTCTTCTTTCAGTGTGGTGGGTTTGGAGCTAGGTTTGTGGAGGTAGGTAATGAGACACCCCAGACTGAGCAGCAATCGGACATGTTCACAGTCCTAGGGAGAGGAGGGCGTCTCTCGAGGGTTATAAACTCATCCTGTGATGATTGTGGTGGTGAAACAGGCCAGAGTCCCCCCTCCAGAAGACTCTTGCCATAATTAAGCCTCTCCTCTTGTCAGATCAGCAGGATGTCTGCAGAGGTTATTGGCAGTTGGGAGTTTTCCTCTTTCTTACAAATGCCAGGTTTGCACACAAAAGATGTGACAGAGTAGAGTCTCTAAGCTTGTTATTAAAAAAAAAAAAAAGATATTATCTGTTTACTTAGTAAAAACTTGTGAAACCTGTGTCTGGTCTACGGGATGGGATCAGAGAGCACTTGTCATATGAACCTCTTAGGTCTCCTTAAAAGGGTGTAAGGTTCAAAGAATTTCTATACTCCTTTGTTCAGAGGAAGAATCCTTAGGCGAGAGCCACCTCTGGTCCCTGCAGTCAATAATCCTGCTTCCTGAAAATTCCTCAGGTGTCCAGCCTCTTCTGTCCTACTTCGGTGGCAAAGAAAAGCATCCAGCATGTTCAGGCATCTCTGGAAAAAAGTGCCGCCATGGCTGGTCCTGAAACACACATGGGACTCCTCCAAGCAACAAAGAATGAAGTGCCGTGTGAGAGCACAGGGATGGGAGCTGGTGAGGGCAGGGAACTGGAGAGAGTATGGTGTTCTGCCAGTAGCCAGAGGTTCCTCCTGTCTGTGGGGAACATAGAGTAGGAGAACATTAAAAAGGGGCCCTGACACATCACCAGGGTGGGGAGCAGCTCTGGAGACCCTCTTCCAGCCTCCTTTTGGAGCATCAGCCAGACACCCAGATGGAACGGAGGATTGTTGAGACACAGCCCCATCCTCAAACATCTAGAGGGGAAAATAAACAGATGCTATAACAAATGTCCTGCAGCTTGTAATAAATGCATGAAGGAGAGAAAAGGGCCATTGGGAGGAGGGCATGGAGGGATGCTTTCAATAGATGCTTCGATGCTGGACAGAATTTCTAGCAGAGTCAGAGAATGCAGCATGACTATGGTGGGACAAATAAAGGAAGCCAGAGAGAAGGGATCCACGTGTCACCTCAAGGACTTCCTAGTTACCTGTATAACCCTTGTGCTACTATGTGATCTTTGGGAAGTTGTCAGTGACTCTAAGGGCTCTTTGAACATCCAAAGCTTGAAGGCCATTCTTAGGCTCCGTTCAATCTTCACAGCTATGGTCCTGTCTCCCTTTAACCCCTTCTCTATTGTCTGAGACCTGCCGTAAATGGCCTCTCCTCCCCACAGTCTTCCCTGGGTCCCAGGGAGACTTAGGCAGCTTCCATAGCTTCTCAAAGCATGAGGAT